ATTTCTTTGCCATGATTAAGACCCAACTTATTACACAACTTTGGGTGTCGTTGTTCAAACCTCTTGTGATAATGGCACAGAATTTGTCAATCAGGACCTCCGTTCTGATAATGGCACAGAATTTGTCAATCAGGACCTCCGGTCTTATTACACAACTTTGGGTGTCGTTTTTCAAACCTCTTGTGTTGGTACTCAACAAAACGGTCGGGTGGAACGTAAACATAGACATATTTTAAATATCGCCCGATCTCTTATGTTTCAATCCCAGTTACCTGTTGAATTTTGGGGGGAATGTGTACGTACTGCAGTATATTTGATTAATCGTACCCCCAACAAAATACTTGGTGGCAAGTCCCCTTTTGAAGTTCTTAACCATAAAACCCCTGATCTTAGTCATCTCAGAATTTTTGGGTGTTTATGTTTTGTTCGCATTAAAACCACTAACAAATTTCATCCTCGTAGCACCAAGTGTATGTTTGTTGGGTACCCCTCTGGCACCAAAGGCTGGCGTGTGTATGATCTTGATAACCATCGTTTCTTCCACACTCGGGATATTGCTTTTGACGAGAGCACCTTCCCGTTTGCCACCCATCGCACGTCGGCCGAACCCCCTACCCCCATCCCATACGCCGATTTTCCCGAAATGCCCCACCCCGCGTCATCCCTGGTCACTCCCGTCGGTCCACTGCCGACGTCTGTTCCCGTCGAGCAGCCCGACCAGCCGATCCCAGGGGACGCACAACCTTCCGATTCCAACCCAAGCCCTTCCGATACAGCCGCCGTTCCTTCTCTTCGTCCGCAACGGCAGCGTCGTCAGCCCTCCCACCTTAGTGATTACATCGTCAATTCTGTTCAATCTCACGCTCCGATGTGTTCGCCGCCTCCCCGGTCCTCTTCTTCAGGTACACATTATCCTATTGCCAACTTTGCTTGTTATCATAAATTACATGACAGGTATCGTGGTTTTCTTGGCGCCATCAGTCCGTACTTTGTTCCCAAAAATTATGCTGAGGCTGTTCCTTATGCAAACTGGCGGGCGGCTATGCAAACGGAGCTATTGGCGTTACAGAATAATCAGACTTGGGATATCACTACTTTACCACCTGATCGGACAGCTTTGGGGTCCAATGGGTTTTTAAGACCAAATTCAACTCTGATGGCACTAAAGAACGGGACAAAGCACGACTGGTTGTCCTTGGCAACCATCAGACTTTGGGGGTTGATTACACAGATACTTTTGCTCCAGTGGCCAAAATGGGTTCGGTTCGAGTTTTACTCTCTGTTGCCGCGGCACGAGGGTGGCATGTGCATCAGCTTGATGTTAACAACGCTTTTCTTCATGGTGATCTGATTGACGAGGTTTATATGTGTTTGCCACCTGGTTATGCACATCTTTATCCGGGAAAAGTGTGTCGTCTGCGGAAGTCTTTATATGGATTGCGTCAATCACCCCGCAATTGGTTCGGGAAACTTACCTGTGCTCTCAGGCGCTATGGCTTCTACCAGGCTCATGCGGATCATAATCTTTTTATTCATCGTTGTGGACCGGATATTTTGGTTGTTCTAGTCTATGTTGATGACATTTTGGTTGCAGGTAACAATTCCACCCTTTGTGCTTCGTTCAAAGCTTATCTGCATCGATGTTTCAATCTTAAAGATTTGGGGCCCTTGTCATATTTTTTGGGTATTGAGTGTGCCCGTTCTGCGACGGGTATCGTTCTCTGTCAACGCAAGTATGCTCTAGACATCCTTAATGAAGCGGGTCTCTTGGGATGTAAACCGGCCGATACTCCTATCACCCCAAATCACGGGTTGAGCCGTTCTACCAGTGCCGAGCTGCGTGACCCAGCTCAGTGCCGCCGGCTTGTGGGTCGCTTGATATATCTGACAATTACCAGGCCAGATCTCTCTTACTCGGTGCATGTCTTGTCCCAGTTTATGCATGCCCCACGGGCTCGACCACATGGACGCCGCCCGACGTGTTCTTCGTTATCTAAAGGGTCATCCGGGACAGGGGATTCTTCTACGCAGTGATAGTTCTCTTCAGTTATCTGCATATTGTGATTCTGATTGGGCGTCTTGTCCACTTACCCGACGTTCTGTAAGTGGCTATTTTATTCTCCTCGGTGGTTCTCCGGTCTCCTGAAAAACTAAGAAGCAAACCACCGTGTCCCGGTCCTCGGCGGAGGCTGAGTATCGCTCCATGGCTAATGCGTGTGCAGAAATTTGTTGGATTCGGGGTCTTCTTGGGGCACTTGGCGTGACCCCTCCTACGACGCCACGCTTGTTTTGTGACAACAAATCTGCTTTATTTATTGCTGCTAATCCTGTTTTCCATGAGCGCATGAAACACATCGACATTGATTGCCATATTGTTCGAGAGTGTGTACACCGCGGTGAACTTGTCACATCTTATGTTCCTACTCGTCTTCAGACTGCTGATATCTTCACTAAAGCCCTAAACAGACCCCTATTTTCGTTCTTACTATCCAAGTTGGGCATTTGTGATCTCCATGCTCCAACTTGAGGGGGAGTGTTAGCGTATATTTAGTTATTTATTTATTTCCTTGTATGTATTTATTTCCTTGTAAGTAATCCTTACCATAGTTGTATTAGGAAACTTGCTTGTATATATACTTTGTGAATACTCAATGGAAACCAATTCAGTCTTTCACAAAATTCTACAATGGAGAAAGGGGTGGGGGACAAATGAAGTACACCAAAAGTGTACCCCATAACATTGTTATTCTATTTTAGAACCCTATTGTGGATCGTATGAGTTTCCGGTACAAAATTTTACTCACTGGTCTAAAAAAGAATGTTGATGTTCATTATTCAAAAATTAAAAAAAAATTGTTTATTTATAATTTTTTATTAATAATTTAATAAAATCAAATATTTTTATTACATCTTGTTTTGAAAACTTTTTTATTGCAAACAATTTGGGATGGCCATACTCGGTCGGGCGTACCCAAAGGGGATGTTGCACTTTTTTTAACCCACACACGTGTCACCAACATGACAACACACGTACACACAGTACACCAACATCACCATCACGCCAGGCATATCCCAACACTACATAAAATTCCTACAAAACTGCTTAAAATTTTTTACAAAAATGAAGTCATCACAATATTTTATTTTTCTCACATAATCAAGCAAAACATATAAATAAATAAAAGTTTTTGAGACTTTTGAATAGTGAAGACTGAAAAGTGTACTTTTTTAGATGAAGAAAGTATATTATACTCGCTACTTTATTTCTTTATTTAAGACAGACAGAATATATCTTTTATTTTTACAATGAGAAAATTTTAATTTATTTTATTTCATAAGTCATACTCCCTCCGTCCTAAAAAAAGTTTCTCGTTTCTGTTTACGAGGTTTGATCGACTTTATTTTCAATTCAATTTATTTGATTGTTGTTTTAAAATTAAAAATAAAATTTACTACCTCCGTCTCACTGTCTTTGTCCACTTTTGACTTTTGGAACTGTTCATCTAAACACTTTGACTCATCTAAACACTTTGACTCATCAAATGCTCTCAATGTGTAAGCCCAAATATAGTCATGTGTGATTTTGTTTTATTTGTCTTAACATATAGATTATTAATATATAATTTTTATAATTTTTTAATATACAAATTACAAGATAAAATGGATTAAAGAAGTGTATTGGATGGTGTGCCAAAAGGTAAGTGGACAAAGAGAGTGGGACGGAGGGAGTATATATTTAAAAATTTCATCAAAAGTTTTACGAAACAAAAGGTGACAAAACTATATTATTTTATCAAATAACTAACGAAAATAGATAAAGAAAGTAATTAAAATTCGATCATGCAATAGTAACTAAAAAAAATATTTTAGGACGGGGAGACCAATGCTAATGCCAAGCTAAAGTCAAAACATGAAGAGCCATGCTAGGGGTACACCAAAGGTGTACCCTAATTATACACCACATGCTTCTCCACCACACATCTATTTTGATTTTGATTTTTTTTTTTGAATTTCTTGCCAATTATTGTGGACAAGGAGAGGGTGAGAGACATTTGGGGTACACCTTTTGGTGTACCGCTAGCATTTTTCAAACATGAATCCAGAGAGAAGTTCTCCGCAGTAAATACTAAACAGTAGACATTATTGTAGGTGGTGCTTGTACGACTAGCACCACGAGTTTGACCATTTCAAAACGTGTGGTGCCAACTTGCTTTTTTTTCTTTAAAGGATGACACTTCTTTAAAAAAAATTGTGTCCACAATCTAACCATTTCTATTAAAAAATCACATTTACCCTTTACTTTTTCGAACTCTACCTATCACATTATACCTTTTTCCTAATAATCTACACATCACATCCTACTTTTACCCATCACTTCAAGGGTATTTTTGGAAAGTCAACACAAAATTATCCCTCTCTTAATTTCAACTTTAGTCAAAATGTATAAATCTTTTTGCGACGGAGGTAGTATATCTTAAAAGGGATCATGCTAGGGTGCAACCATATGGGTGCACCCATGCTTCACACAGACAAACACAGACGATAATTGTCTGTGTAATATGAATATGGACTTCATTCTGTAAGGCTGTTAGGAGCCGAGAGAAGGCGAAAGAGCAGATAGTCAAGCCTGCCCTCGCTGCAACCCCCGTCGAAAAAGGAAATCAGTGGCATTCTAGTAAGTCTGGATGGGATCTATTCCAAAAGGTATCACCCAGCTAGGCGAATCACAGTATGTTTGGCCTGGCTGTATAAGTGTAGCCCGAGAGGGCGGCTAGCACCTCAGGAGCCCTTTGTTACGAAATCCTCTAGAAAGAGATCTCCGTCCGGGGCCATTTCCAATCCGAAATGCTACTATAATACGACACAGACAATTATCCTCTGTGTTTGTCTGTGTGAAGCATGGGTGCACCCATAGTAGCACCCATGTAGTGGCACCCTAGCATTTTCCATCTTAAAAAGGTGAACGAGATATAAAAAATGAGATTCGTCTCTAGTTTCAGCAAACCCAAATAAACCCTCTCAAAGAACATCTCCATCCATATATAATCCACCCCAAAGCTCATCACACCACCAAACCAGCACATATAACATATGGCTAGCCCTCCTCCTTCCATGTCCTCAATTTTCCTCATCATTCCCATTTTAGCCCTGTCCTTATTGCTACCCCACAACGCCATCGGCCAGACATGCAACCCCAAGGAAAGAGATGTCCTCCTGAAAATCAAAGCCCACTTCAAGAACCCACCCTCCCTATCCTCGTGGAACCCCAACACCTCTGACTGTTCTTTGTGGGATGGCATTGGCGTTGACGACCAAGGCCATGTCACCAGGCTTCGGATCAACAACGCCAATGACATCGTGGGCCCCATCCCGTCTTTCGTCGACGGGCTCCCCTTTCTCAAGACCCTCGACTTCAGTGGCGTTCCCAACTTGTCGGGCTCCATCCCCGTGTCCATCGGCAACTTTAGAAACCTCACGAGCCTTAGCATTTCCGAGTCGAAAGTCACCGGGCCCATACCTTTGGCCTCCGTAGGCCGGCTCACGACGCTGGACATGCTCGATCTCCGGTCCAATCGCCTCAACGGCTCCATCCCTTCGGACTTCTCCCGGCTAACCCAGCTCAGCTACTTCAACCTGAACTCCAACCTGCTGTCCGGGCCGATCCCGGATTTCATAGGACGCAAGCTCACCAAACTAAACTACATCGGGCTCGAGTCCAACCAACTGTCCGGGCCGATCCCGGCTTCCTTCAGCATGCTGCCCGTTCTCACAACGCTCCATCTCTCCCAAAACCAATTGGTGGGGCCGATCCCGGACCCTCTGGGGAAGGTCGACGTCATGTCGTCGGTCGACATCTCGCACAACGCGATCGCCGGAGACGCGTCGTTTTTGTTCGGCAAGAAGTACACGGGGCTGTCCTTTCTGTACGTGAACGACAACATGTTGAAGTTCGACTTCTCGAATGTGGAGTTGACGCCGACGCTGGCGATATTCAACGTGAGCCACAACATGATATATGGGTCTCTTCCGAGGCGGTTTGGGCAGATGAAACCGGACATTAACTACGTCGACGTGAGTTTCAATCAGCTCTGCGGCCCGATTCCGAACGGCAGGCGCTTCAAGACGGCGGATCCGGCCATCTTTGCGCACAACAAATGTCTCTGTGGTGGCCCTTTACCTGCTTGTAAATAAGAAAAATACTAGGATACACCTTTCCAGAATTTACCTAAATAGCAATAAAACATAATGACTTTCTCTAAATAGCACTACATATGTTTTTCTTTCCAATGTGGCACTTTTAGTCATTATGCATTAGTCATTATTCAAGCAAAATTTCGCCATCACTGGACATTATGGACATTATAAGTGCTATTAGAGAATAAAACAATTTAAGTGCTATTTAGAGAAATGACTTAAGTTTTAGTGCTATTTGGTGCAAATATTTCTTTCCTCATATGTCCCCCAACCCCCACTAAAAAACGCAAAAAACTTTAAAAAAAATAAGTAAATAAAAATCAAATAAAAATGTGTGATGGAAAAGAGATGGTGTACATTTAGGGTACACCAAAGGATTCATAATGAGGATTCATAAGACTAATGTAAGACTAATGTACCCTAGCATTGCTCTGTAAATAATGAGGATTCATAAGACTAATGTCTTTTTTTTTGTGTGGTGGGGGGGACGATATTGTGGCTCTATCTTAAATTTACTATTCCCACTTTCATTGTGGTTTTCACAACGAATAACTTCGGAGAAGAAAGAGTGACAATTAATATGATTGACTCTGTTTTTTGCTCTTGGAACAAAAATATGAAATATATTTTCCTTATTATTAGTCATACACTCATATTCACCCCAACCCCGCATTAGTATGATATTGTCCGCTCTAGACCAAGCCCTCACGGATTTGTTTTGGGCACCTCCCAAAAGACCTCTTACTAATGGGGTTGGGTGAACATATATATTTTGGTCCATTTTTCCTTCTCCGGTGTGGGACTTGGAGGAATCCCCAACAAACCTCCCCTCAACCAAGGACCACACAATTTCCAACCTCCCCTCCAGCGGTAATCCATTTTTCCTTTTATCTGCTAACCATCTTGCACCGCCGCACACTCTTTGCGGGACGCGCCGCCCGACCTCCTGTCGGGAAGACTTTCGACACAAGGCTCGAACCGCAGATCTTTTCCTTCGCTGGGCTACACCATTTGATCCGCCAAATCATCTTGTGCCGTCGTGGCTGTAACTTCACGGGACACGCCGACTGACCTCATCTCGTCGGGAAGACTTTCGACACAAGGCACCACCTGCAGATCCTCTTTCTAGGTCTTGGTCCTATTATTACACCGTCACACCGAGATTTATCCACACTGCACAGTCCGCTGCTCACGCCCGCAAGAACCTGCGCTCTGATACCACATGTTGGGACTGCGCGTGCCCTCACCCCAACCCCGCATTAGTATGATATTGTCCGCTCTAGGCCAAGCCCTCACGGATTTGTTTTGGACACCTCCCAAAAGGCCTCTTACTAATGGGGTTGGGTGAACATATATATTTTGGTCCATTTTTTCATCTCCTCCGGTGTGGGACTTGGAGGAATCCCCAACAATATGTACACTTCTTCCATGGCCAAATAGCGTCGGTATCCCTCGTGGTTTGTAAAACAGGCACCAATACCTCCTCTATTTTCAAAACTTATTTCTAAAGTCCCTGTGATTTCAAAATGCTGCACCCGTGCCCACTCTGATCATTTTCCGGCCATTTTTCCGGCGAAGAAGGAGGGCATTGGTGCATATTTTCTAAATCATAGGGGGTATCAGTGATGATTTTTATTTCTCGTTTATTTTTTGTTTTTTCCTTTTTTTGTTTAATTCATAAGAAATGAGCACGAATGCCCCCTATGGTTTAGAAATTATGCGCCAATGCCCCCCTCTTCGCTGGAAAATGACCGGAAAATGATTAGAGAGGGTGTGAGTGCAACGTTTTGGAACCATGGGGACTTTAGAAATAAGTTTTGAAAACAGAGGGGGTTTTGGTACCAATTATCCAAACCACAGGGGGCACCGGAGCTATTTGGCCCTTCTTCCCTCGCTAAAACAAAGTTTCTAGTGAGATGAATGATGTCCAGTGATGATGAATATTTACTTGAATAATGACTAATGGATAATGACTAATGATTCTACATTGAAAAATCAAAACATATATTCTTATATTAAAAAAATTATTATGTTTTAATACTCTGTACTATTTACGTAAATTCGTCTACTATTTATTAGTAATAACTCGTACAGAATTACTAGCTTAGTCATCGAGGGAGTAGCTAGAGCATCTCCATCAATCTCATTTAATCAATGTTTAATTGATCTCATTTAATCAATGTTTAATACTCTTCAAGTCCCCAATTTGTAATCAAATTGGGGTTTACGAGAGGAAATTTCTCACTTTTTAAAATTATTTTATTTACAAATAGGTATATCGATAAGAAATTAAAATTACATATTAAAAAACTACGTCAAAAGTTCTACAAAACAAGAAGTGATAAGAATATTTTATTTTATCAAATACTTATTGAAATCGCGTAAACAAATAAAAGTTATCGAGAAGAGAAAGAAAAAAACTGTAATCAAATTGAGGACGGAGATAGTAATATGAATGGATGCACAAGTACGTTTAAACTATTATGAGTCATCAAATATAATGCACGGTGATAGAAGACAATTCAGTTAAGGAAAATGCTAGGGGTACACCTTTTTTTTACCACACAAAAAGGCAAAAGAATTTCAAAAAAAAGTAAAAAATTAAAAGAAAATAAAATGAATGGTGTAGAGTCAAGTGGTGTGCATTTGGGGTACACCTTTGGTGTACCTTTAGCATATCCCTTCAGTTAAACATTTAACCACCATCCATGTAGACTTATGACCCCACTCACTAAATAATTTTTATTTTTCAATTATATTATAGTAATTAATTAATTAATTAATTAATTAATTAATGTAATCACCAAATTAATTTATTTATAAATTACTTTTTATTATTAAATTATTCATTCTTTTCTATCTTTGAAAGATAAGTTTTATTTAAAATTTTTGTTTTATTTCAGTTATACTAATTTATACGGAGTACTTTGTTTCTTAAAACACATCCTTTTTCAATTTTTAGTTTTCTCAAAACACTTCGAGTTTCTATAAAAAAGCACTTTTACCCTTGTTTTTTCTTATCCTATTTATGATATCATATTTTTTCACTAATAATCGATCCATCACATCTTACCTATTGTAATTTTTTTCTCTAATTTTTATTTGATTCTTCTAAATATAAATTTATATAAATTCGAGATATTGAATTTAATATTTTTTTGTAATTTTTTATTCATGAATTATGTTATGAAAAAAATTAATATTATTTTATACCCCAAGAGTATGATTATTTACTATTATTACTCTCTCCGTCTCTATTTTGATTATAATTTTATTTTTACTCTGTTCTCGATAGCTTTTGTTTGTGTATTTTTATTGATTATTTGATAAATTAAAATATTCTTGTTATTTCTTGTTTTGTAATTGGAATAAAAGTTTTTGTGTAATTTTTGATTTCTTGTTTATATACTAATTTGTAAATAAAATATTTTAAAAAAATCGTGATATTTTACTTCATAAATCTCATTTTGTAATCAAAATAAGGACAAAGAGAGTAAATAAAGTAAGGGTGGGACCCATAAATAATTGAATGAACTAATGAATGGATGTGATGAGTTGTGAATGTTTGTTTAAATAATAAGGTACTTCTCCCTTCCTAAATATTTGTCACACTTATATTCCCAAGGCAAAATATTAAGTTTTTTTAAATTTATTTTATTTATATATTGGTATTGAAATAAAAAATAAAATTTATATATCAAAAAACTACATGAAAAGTTCTTCGAAATAAGAGGTATCAAGAATATTTTATTTTATCAAATAAATAATGAAAACGTAGAAATAAACAAAAGTTCCCGCGACTGCTGAAAAACCAAATGTTGCAAATAATTCGGGACGGAGTGAGTATTTAAAGATGAATAGTGATGTAAAAATTATGTGGATCAGAGAGAACAATTGGATAAATAAATTTTTAATTCGAAGTGAATTTTCATAACTCGGGTCGGAGTTTTTTTCATAGATACGGGGCCGATTTGTTGAAAACGACTCTATTCCACATGTTCACAATCTAAATCCAATGACAATATTCTATAAACTACATAACCAACAGATTTAGAAACAAAAAGTTGATACAACTTACAAAAAAACAAGTTTAACAACTACGATTCACAAAGAATAAATCTACTTGTACTACCCAATAGTTTACACTTACATTTTGTGTCAATATAATTAAATTTGAGATTAATTGCTTACATTAACATAAAATGTCAATGCAAATCTTGCAATCCTACTGATATTTTATGTCAATGTAAGCCATCAAAATGCAAGTAATATAGATCACCACAAACTGATAAAAGACCACAACCAATAAATTTGGTTCTTTGAAAAAGACCACCTATATACTCTTTCCATATAATATTAATATAATACTCCATATTACAGAATATATATATAAATCTATTGACAAATATAATGTCTGATCACTACCATGTCCGCCTTAAATTTTAACATAATTTGGAGTCGTTTGAAAGTAAAATTTTCATTCTTTTTTAAGAAAGAATATCATGATTTATATTACGGGCATTTGATTTTCATTCATATTACTCCGTGAATATAAAAATTTATCTTTTTTAACTCCGTGAAAATTTGAAAATCAAATGGGAACCTAATTTCGAGATGGAGGAGGTATATCTTTCTCAATTTATAAAGGGTTTTCAACAATCAAATATAGGTAATCTCTGCTTTTGGCGAATACGGATAACATGCCCACATAAACGAATACGGTAATCAAAGTTTCAGCTATTTTGCTTCCACAACTGCTTAGGCAATATTGGAGGGTGTTTGCAGTCCTATCTTGCTGGGGATATGGAGAACTTGGATATTGGGTGAGCTCAATTTCCTTTTCATATCTGCTGGAGGGTAGTGTTTGCATGCAGGTTGAAGTTTTTTTAAGCCATTTCTGGTTCTACTAAGGTTAAGGAGAAGCCTGGGTGTTATAGGTGCACTTATACTACCTCTTCCTAGCCTTGGTATGAATGGTTTGTGTAGTAGGGAGTAGTGGGCTGTTGGAATGGCTTATTTCCTCTTTTTAGAGTATGCCTACTCCCTTGTGTGGCCTTTCCTATTGGTTATGGTTCCTTGTTTTACTGCATTGGTTCTTGGATTGATTGCCTGATGGTCATGGTTGTTGTTTTCAACTTTGGTCATGGCATTTGGTACTTTTGACCTTATTGTGGCATAGGTCATGCCCCTAGTTTAGTTTGTTTTAGGTTGGACCTTATTGTGGCACCGGTCATGCCCTAGCTTAGTTCGTTGTAGCTAGGACCTCATTGTGGTTTTGGTCAAGCCTTCTTCTAGGTTTATCCCCTTCTCGTCCCTATTGTATTCCCCGGAAGGTTTGTCTTCCGTATGAGGGGCTGGCATTAGGCCTTGGTTTGGTCCTCCCCTCAATTTGTATGCCCGTGCTATCTTAATAAAACTTGGTAAGAGTTGCCTAGACCTTACCCCACCGATCTTGGTGGTTTACCCGCTGGGATTCTTAAAAAAAAAGTTTCAGCTATCAATTTACATCCTCTCAATGGAGCACCAAGGAAGTTTTTTTCCCCACTTTCACTCTTCCCCCCCATCTTTAAGTAAATCCCGTATCTCCCATTCATTCATCATATGTGGGTAAAGGTCTAAAGCTAAACTTATATGAGAACTAGACAGGGGAAGGAGCAAAGCAATGGCTAAAAGTGACAATGAAAAGTACTCCCATCATTAGCAATTGCATGAATACTGAAGTGAAGTACTAACCTTCATGATGGTGACCAAAATTCAGGCAGGAAATTTACAATAGATGTTAGCTGAAGGCCACTAAAGCTACAAATGGAAGTTTGATGAAAGTTCAAGTGTAATACTCTGTATTTGCTTTCCTTCTTTGAGGTTTTATTGTCCCCTAGTAAAGTACTGAAGGTCAAATCTGGTTTACAAAAGCATACTATGACTATGAGCTAGCTTTGGCATATCCGCTAGTTTCCTCTGCCACTTTCGCCCATTCTGTTCCAATTTTTTCGAAGCAAGCGACCTGCAATATCACAGCAAGTCTTATTAAATACGGAATATATTTATTTAACTCCACACTAAACATCAACTTACTTCATATGCAAGAGTTACATTTTCTTTGTGGCTAAAATGAGTGAGATGAGACCTTACTTTCATTTTTAGATACTCCGTATTATTTTTTTGGAGTCATATTTCTTTAAAAATATATTAAGAGATGTTTTCAGATCACTTGGCATATTCAGTCATTTTAGCCATTTCATGGCTAACGAATAATTATTTTCAAATAATGCAGCTTGCTCACACAATATGGGAAAGGATGGAAAAATCTTCTAACCTTAGATAATCCATTCACTTAGAAATGCAAATGGCCTCCATTTAAACACTAGATTAAAACATTAAACTTGATCTAGAACTTTATGGTGTACTTTGGCAAGTACACATGACGTAATGAAATGTATTGCAATTAGATTTACACAAAATATATTTACACCATTACATAACACGTTGTTAGAGTATTACAAACTACACACAGTTATTTATGTATAAAGAAGAAAACGTGATCAAGCCAGAGTGCTTTACAAAATGGTCAGAGCATGACACATAACATTACACTGATGTCCAATGTCATAAATTAAGAGGTTTTACTGACCAGCATGCCGAATAATTCTAGCAGTGCTCACAATGCAGGATGCAATGAAGCTTGCGGAGTGCGGACTACCCAGCATGAGAGATGGACGAAGATACAAGTACAAATTTCAAGATATCAATGGCCAATCAAAACCGTTAAGAAATATGGCATAAGGTTACCTGACTAATCACAAATCCTTTCAACATACTTGTGAAGTCTTTGCGTCTTTCTCTATCTAGTCTTTCAATTTCACTTCTATTATTTTCCTGCAGTCCCACAAATTTTTAGATTACGGAGTATACTGTATGATAATAAAGGTACACATAATAGAAAAACCATATCATGGGTTTGGCCTCAGGAAAAGATCAGCAAAAGCTTCTATATTTTAACACACTGACATGCATATTTTGGTTATACTAGCAATTACACCTTGATACGCTCATATTCTCTGATGGCACAGCTTTTGGCATCCTCTGTGGCTGTAATAGCATCTTTCAATTCATCCATTTTTTGAATCTTTGATCTTTCACCTCCAATTTTTTTGGGAGAGGTTGTTTCAAGTTTCTCGGCCTTTGAATTTAGAGAGGACAAATCTGATAGAAGATTCTGTACTGTTAGTAGAGCGCTTGAACGATCGGAAAATGCATCATGCACTGCCAACATTAACCCCAGATGCTCATGAAGTACATCCTGCAAGCAGGATATTTGAAATTTTCACACCCATCTCGTATATAACAGAATGTTGACGGAAGTTTCAATGCTAAACTGCCCATATACAAATATGGAACTTTTTTAACTTCAAGAATTTATATTGTATGCCAAAATTATTTCACATGCCAAATACGGAGTATGTATAGAAGGAAGATTTAGTTACCAAATGCTTCACACTCTGTGCATTCAGTTCCCGGTACAATCTGCTCACTTTGACAGCCGCTGTTGTCACATTTTTCAAATCAGCAGCTCTTTGTTTCTGAGTGTTCAACATTGCCCTCTCATTCTCAAATTTCATCAATTTAAGGAATGCTAGTCCTAATTGCCCCGTGGTCTCTGACATGTCTTGTTGTTGTTTAACAAACAATTCAGCCTAATTTGGGAGAGTGTAATGAGATTTCAATGACAAATTATTCCAATCAAGGAAAACTAAGCATCACAATGTAATTTCAAAAGAATCACTGGGAAGCCCCAAGCTGTGCTAAGCATGCATCACTAAATAACATTGAAAGAGAAACCTGCTTTGATGCAAAAGTCAGGTGTTGCTCAAGCTCATTGAGTCTCTCTTTCTTCTCCAAAAACTCCTTATCATCTCCCACCACAAGCGGCCTTGATCCACCTCCCCAATCATTAACAACTGACTGTTTCAATTCCTTAAACAATTTCAGCAAATCCCTTCCACCTCTTGCTGGTTGTGACGTATCCTGCGTCTGAACTGCTGCATTCATTGAGTCGTTAAGCAACTGCATTGGGAAGAGAAGCTTCCCCTGAACCTGCAAGAACGCTCGCAACTCATTGCTCTTCCTGATCACAGGATGTGCTGCGAGCCTCGTCAAATACTTCTCCAATGCCACTCTCCTTAGTTCCACAAATTCATGCTTTTGCATCACTTGACTTTCCACGACACTCTTTTCCGGTCTCGGAGGAACAAAAAACCCTCTGTAAGCCTTACTCAATTCATCCGCCAATGCTACTACGTCTCTGAACCGCCTCCTGACGCTAAATTCAGATCCACCATACTCAGGCATGTTCGTTTTGGTAGTAATGGAGTAGGTAACGAAAGTGTTGCCTCCGGGAACAATTGAATTGGAGGTCTCCACCTCTTTTTGTGGATTGGAAACCAATATTTTCAAATACTCGGAGCTCGAGGATGGGGATCTAGTGGCCACGGCGGACTCACCGTCGTCTCTGACATGGCTGCGCCTGCCATTGACCGCTTCGCCGCGTTGATCGAGTGGGTTGAAGTGCACATCAGCATAAGATAGAGATTCGGCATAACTTTTCCGCGGAGAAGTTGATGCTCCGAGAGGGGAGAGGATCGGATCGGCGCCGCCGGAGACGATCGACGGCGATAGGGGATGGTGGGAGCAGGAAAGCGTTGACAAGGCGCTCCGATAACTAGCGTATGATTTGGAGATGAAATCTTCTGCATCTTCGAGTGTCAAGCTCTCCATTGGAGCCACTCTTTGAGCTTGGAGTTGGGCTTCACCTGGGTTCTCCGAGCCCATCATTTTCTTTTTCAGAAACAAAAACAAAATTAATCAAAAGCAAACGAATTTCAGGAAAATATGGTAGGAAATTTGGACCAAAGATTCTGCAGGTCTGAAACAGGCGCGGTTTTTAGGGGTTTTCTCTCGAAGAAATTAGTTGAGGCTGTTGAGTATTGATTTCATATAATTACGGTCAATTATTAATTTCATGTAATTAAAGTTCAAATTAAAATAGAACTAAATATGAAATTAACATGACATCTAATACGGGGTAAGACATTTGCTCTATCCATAAAAAAACTAAAAAAAAATTTTAAAAAAATTGTAACAAAAACAATAAAGAATAAAAATGAAGAAGAAGCAAAGAAAAAAAATTGAAAAATGAAGAAGCAACTAACACCAAAGAAATTAAAGGAAGAACAGAATAAGGAAAGCAAAAGAAGAACAAAACAAGCTACTTTACCAAAATGTGTTGCTACAATATTTTTAATCCTTCAAATTACGCTGCCAGATCTACGCTATTTCATTTTCCATTTATTTTTTCGTTTATCAACTTTGAAGGATTAAAAATATTGTAGCAACACATTTTGGTAAAGTAGCTTGTTTTGTTCTTCTTTTGCTTTCCTTATAAATGGAAACCTTTATTTATAGTGTGGAAAATAATTGGGATATGCAATCTGAAGTATTTTGCACGAGAATCTAAAAATTTAAAAAAAAAGTGTAATTATGCTCATATTCAGCCCTCTCAACATTTATTTAATTTACTCTAGCCACCTAAGCACATACCTCAATGCTAAAATCATGACGTCTTCATGGAAATCGATAAAATTACCCATATAGTGGCCTCTCATCATGCATTCTTCCATGCAAAATAATTAAATCACGTTTACCCATATAGTGCCCTTCCCCATAATCAGGCCCGTACACCCAACACCCATGCTCATCTCCTTACCCGAGCCCAATATTTTTAGGCGGGATAATCTATTGTTCATGTTTAACACATTAGCTTTGTGTAGATAAAGATCATTGATAAAGTATTATTTATTGCGAGTCGCCTAAATACATTACTTAATGCAAGAGTAATGATGTTTTCACACCTTCCCAAAAACTATCCATTTAATTGATATTGGGAAAAGGTTGATTTACAAATCTAATTCATTATTAAAGTGTTATTTATTGCTAACTACCTAAATACATTATCGAATGCGAAAGTAATGATGTTTTCACGGATTCCCGGAAAACTATCTATTTAATTCAATCATTCACACCCAAATCCGATGAACCATTGTACTATTTACCAAACCCCAACCCGGAATCCTTCGTCGCGTTCATCTTTCCCATTTGGCTTTGTATATTAAAAGATGATAGTGTACACTACTAATTTTGAAACCATACATTTTATTCATTATCTTCTTTTTTAATTTACACTAAAAAGTTGTGTGATATGGTCACACTAAAGTATATCTCAAGTGTATACCACCAACCCTCATATCACACATTTTTTAATGTAAATAAGGAAAAAAGAAAATGAATAAAAAGTATAGTTATAAACCTAGTAGTACTTTTGGTGTATTCTTGAAACCACCAAAAAGTATATCTCAAGTGTACACCACCAATCCCATACCACACACTTTTTAGTTTAGATAAAAAAAGGAAAATGAATAAAAATGTATAGTTATAAAACTAGTAGTACCCGTAGGGTACACAATATTTGGTGTACCACTAGTGTTTTCTTTAGATTTAAGACACCTAATCATGAAAATATGACTGATCTGTACAAGATAGATCAGCACGAGGAATATGAGTATTATGTGCAATCGATCCTTTCAGTCCAAATAAAATTCATTTCGGATATGGACCAGACCAAACTAAAACTCGAAAGTTTAATTAACTTGGATCAAAGACTGGCCTGAAATCTATTCAGTTTGAGTTCGATTTGGACCTAACGATTGAGTTTGGCACTTCAATCGGGTTTTTTCGATCTAAACGTAAATGTGAATAGCCCTACCATGCATAGACGAATGGAATGCAGCAAAAAGGATCATGGTGTAGTTTCAAATTAAGACTCTAGGTTCACATATTAAAAGTTTGAACAATTTGAGATCGTATAGTAAGTATATCGACTTTAAAGAGTTTGTATCTTGAATTTTTTTTGTTGGAGCCCCGATCGCCTTGGCCTTTCCAGCTGGACACCTTTGCCCTTTAGTTTCTTTTCGGCTCTAGGCACATCTCAGTCCTCGTCTTTGTGTACGTCTCCATCTTGTGTGATCTGTGTACGGGATTTGTGAGACTTACTCCTCTAAGACCAAGAGGGACCCACTTTGTTCATTTCCCCCGCCAAATTCGTAGGGATAACCGACCAGATAACACTGGCTGGTTGAAATGGCGAAGGGTGCTCTAGCGTGTTCAGAAGGGGTGAATTTTGAGGCAAAGCATGGGGATACATTCCGGGGATGAATGGGGCAGATCCTCCTGGTTGCTGAAACATGGACATGAATTGTCCAAAGTTTTTGGAGTGCCTGGGTGTACATCGGGTCGATGGTGTAACACCCAAACCCGTATAACCCAAATCTAAGGGTTAGAAAACGAGTTGCTACCATTCTGGTATCCAAACACACGCTAATTTCAAAACAATTTTAAAACATCCAAACAATTCTTAGTTTAAAAACCCAACATCGGAGTAAAATAAAACAGTGCGGAAGCTCAATAAGCAAATCAACACAACTTGGGACTCATGCTAAAAAATGTAATGACTTATTCAGAAATAATTAGGAATTCCAAATCCTCGATTAACTCTAATACCCTCATCTCCTCGTCCTCATCGCCTTCCGGGATCGGCTCTAGGTTCATCATCTACCTGATTACTTGCGTGTAGCAACAAACAACTACACGTTCAACATTGACGCTAAGTGATAAATAACTAATTTAACGTCAAACAACAATCAAGAAAAACCACAACTCATATCATTATGTGATATCATGCAATCAACTTATAAACATCACACATACAATTAATTCACACCATTTACCTGGCACTTGCCGTAGTCATTCTCATCAAACTTGTGGACTTATCACAGTTGGTGGATCACCGAGAACATGTCCTTATTAACTAGACTAAACTATAGTCTTACTACTTTACTTGGGAGTCATGATGGTTCCCACTGGATCAGGAGGTCATGCTCGACCAACGAAGGTGTTCTCTGTTGGGTGGGTGGAATCCCCACCTCATAGATCACCTGGCATTTAAAAGATACTCGTACGTACATTTTTACTAGGTTGGCCATTGGGCCCAGCAGGCTCCACATGGCTTAGACTCTTACTTACTAACTATTTGTGTCAGTCCCAAGGATTTCCTCTAGGTAGACTTGCCTTGCCGAGTGCGTAGGATCAACACGCGATACTTGTGTACTGTGTGCTGGATCAGCCCACTCGTGTTTGCACCGACAAAGTTATAAATTCATCATAACCATATATATGTTGGATCAACACCTTGCAACAGAATTATATCAAACAGCGGTCTAGTCTGGGTGTTGTCACCCCTACTTCTTGTCATGCAACACACAAGCCTCGGAATCAATCCTTAGCGAAACATGAATTATTGTCTGGTTCAAGTACTTCACAGTACCCTTAGAGGTAGGGGGTACCGTCCCCATGGTACTAAGGCACCATCCCACGGTACATGGGTACCGACCGGAATGCATGTTACTCTTGCATGGTATGCCTGTCACAGTAGCCTCTACTGACAAGGCGGTAGGGCCTACCGTCCCCCCGGTACATGGGTACCGTTTGGTGACAGGTACCACCAGAGGAAGGTTGAGACGAGGAAGGTGGCGGTACCCTAGTACCGTCCCGATGGTACCAATCTACCGTCCACCGCGACTCATACCCAGGTTCCTGCACCAGCTCATTTCCCTTTCAAAAACCAACATCGTTTCTTCCAATTCAGCGTTAAACATGGTGGAAAACACATAATACACGTCACATAATCATACGACACCAATCATACGCCTAGTTCATGAGTTCTACCCGTAGTTTTCATCAAAACCCCAGGAAAACCCGGTTTAACATATCATATAGGTTTTTCATGCAAATCAATCCCCATAGTGATTACGAACGTAGATTTCAACCTAGTTACTTGCTCTAATAGTAGGGTCTCACCTCGAAACGACAAAATTATCTCACAGCAAAATTTTCAGACGGTTGACAAGCCAATGGCGGCCATGGTGGTCTTCTTCCTCTTCTTCTCCTCCTCTTCTCTTCCTCTTTTTCTCTTCTTCGGCCCTAAACTTGATCGGCGATAGAGAGGGTTACGAGAGTGTATGCGGCGTGTGATCATGCAGATGCACATAAAGGGTTTATTTAAATACCCTAGGGATTCATGCTCCGTAATTAAATAACGTACCTCGGGAAAAATACACTTTTCGGGCCACCTGGCTTCAAATTTATATCCGTTTGCATCGTTGGATTTGTCTTGTCGAACCCTACACAACGGTATAATTCTTATAACTTATTAAGAATTATTTTAATTAACTCCGAGTCTGCCTCAATAATTAATTAATTATTTTCTAATTAATTAATTCTGATAGGCTGGGTTTTAGGGAGTTACATATGGTTACTGGGAAGTTTGTGGGGAAGTTATTCCTAGAGGGGGATGACACAGGTGCTATTTTGGTGGTGAATGAAGTTGGTGTTGGGGTGGTGATTATGGGAGCAGATATTGGGGAAAAGAGCGAAGGCAACGAGGTGTTTCCTCTTGGAGGCGAGGTGACACCCACCCCTGGTGTTGAAATTTGTGAGATGACTGGCTCCACGTCACTGTTGGTCATGGCTTCTTTTTGTAAAGGGTCTCACGGATGGCGTCAATTTGATGGTGTAACACCTACGTAGTGTTTAAGTCAGGGAAAGCGAAAGGGTTGTAGGTGGAAACACCTGTAGCCCAGTTTATTATTTATAATATGGGGATTGATTATAAAGCAAGAACCGTACAATTTTATTTATTGCTTTCTTTCTTTATGAGGCTTTCGTTCCTATTTATAATAATAAAAAATACAATGTTTATGAGTACTGTTCACATCAAATAATCCACTTGCGTTGTTAGATTCACTTGTTCCGGTGCCTAGTCAATGGCAATACCCATCGAGTCTTCAAGCCTTTTGCGGATCAAGTCACAATCGTACCGGTCTGACCCTCCGATATCCACCCGGTCAGTTTATTGGGGGGGATGATGTCAAGCTTGGTCAAACCTTGGTACATCCCAGGCGCCTGCGAATCTGTCGGGTGGTATCAGTGGGTTATACCCACCAATATTCATCAGGGCGTAGCCTCTTGATTCTTTTTTAATTTCAACCACTCAAAGTAATTCAAATCTCCACCCCATAAAACTTTTCGCCACGCCCCTCATTCAAGCCACATGACACATTTTCTTATTACTCCACGTCATTTTCTTATTACTACGTCAAGCCTCAGTCAAGCTCGCTATAACACATGGTCAATTAAAATTTTACACACATTCACAATTTGTCACATTCCTTCTGATGGTGTAAAACCAATGTGAGTACTAAGTCTGAATAAGTGTAAGGGCTGTAAGTGGGAGCACCTATAACCTGGTTTCTATTAATGATAGTAGGACTGTTTACAAAGTCACAAGCCATGCGGATTAATTAGAGCATGCCTCACAAATGAGGCTTTTAGTCCTATTTATAATAATGACGAAGCACGTCAAGCACATCTCTGATCTTCCGGCCGGTCAGTCCCCAACCAGTCAGCCTGCACGCCTTCGTCAAATGAAGTCATGCCCGTGATTCCGAATCTTCTCATCACTAACCGGTCAGACTGTCCAGGTCAACCAAGTCAAAGGGTGTTGGATTTGATACCTCCCGGTCGGTACGAACCTAACGGGTGGAATCAATGGGTTATTACCCATCAAGGAGTCCTCTGATTCCCAGCTCTGTGGGTACCATCAGGGGCGAGAACAATACAAGCCATTTTTCGAAATTCAAGTCACCAGGCTATTTTGGGTGGGAAAATATCATTTGAAAATCAGCGCCAAATATATTTAAATTTCAAATTTTGAGATCCCGGGTGCTAAACGCGGGAGAATCTTTATTGGAATCCGGTACAACGTCGCCAATTTGTCGCGCCGTTATGTCTCCCCGAGAAGTTATCATTACAAATCATTTCAGCTACCACGTGTCGCTCTCCCATTGGTTCAGCTGGGCGGAACCTCCCCTATATAAAGCGAGGTTCCCCATAGAATTTCCTCACTTGCATTTCGTAATACAAAAAACTGCCCGGTTGCTATTACTGTCTCTTGAGTCCTCAGAGTCTTCTTAGTCTCAAGTAAGTCTCCCATTCCCTCTTCATTTTCTCGCGTCATGACTGAGAACAAGGATATCCAAAACCCTTCAGTCCACTCCTATGGTTCTAATGCCCGGTCTCAGACCTCCACTTCCCAGTCTTCTTCTTTGTCTGAGTGCCCGGCTACTTCTCAACAGGAGAAGTCGGTCGACGCCTCCACTTGTGCCCCTTCTACTTCCGCAGCACAAGTGGTCACGGTAGCCCGGTCCGTGGATGAGGGCTTTATTCCGCTGGATGATCAGCTGCTCTTGGAGCAGTCGTCCTTCATGCAGAAAGCTCAAGTCAATGAGCTGCGCAACCTTATGCCAGATGGTTACTAATTGGCCTACCGAGCAACATGGAAGAATATTATTTCCCTCCACGCCGGTACGACAATTGAAATCTAGTATCATTCCATCAAGGACATGGGTGAATTCTCCATTCACCCCTTCAAAGTCCTCTTCCTTGAGACATACGGGATCATGCCCGGGCAGCTGGCCCCGAATGGTCACCGTATGCTGAGCAGTTTCATCAATGTCTGTCGTTTTCTTCGCATCCCCCTCTCCCTTCGTCTTTTTGACCATATGTTCGACGTCTAGCTCGGGTCCAAGGAAATATTTGGATTCGTGATTATGTCCTCTCACCAGGTCCGGGCTTTTCTTTCCGGTCTCCCCTCCAAAACAGGGGCTGGAAAGAAAAGTATGTCTCCATCAAATTCCCCCCGGGTGATTTTCTTTTTGCCCAAAATGCCTGGGGGAAAAAACTTAAGGTCCAGGTCAAGCCTCGGGAGATCGATGACGTGGCTGCCTGGGAGGCCACACTCCGGACCAGGGACACCTCCACCCGCGGTCCGTACAACGTTGGGAAGTGGGGTGTCTACCCGGGTCCAGAGATTGACCTGGAGCCCGAGATCGTTCGGGGAGAGGCGATCCCAGACGCTATCCCTCTCCTCCGCGTTTAAGGGTCCACCGCACCAGTTTCTACCCCCGCCGGTTCCTCTCACCGGGGGAAGAAGAAGGAGAAAGGTCCCTCCCTACTTCCTTGTAAAATTGTTTTTATTCTTTCTTGGTAACCCTCCTATACTGACCAATTTTCTCTATTTTGTCCTTGTTGTAGTGGTGAAGTTCAACTCCAAATTCTCCATCCCCCAAATCAAGGATGTCGAGGGACTTCTACTGTCCAGCCTTTCAGCCAGCCATCCGCCGATCAACTGCCTCTGATGGATGAGCAGTCGGCTCAGTCCCAGCAGGGTACCAGCCAGCCAATTCACTCCGGGGAAGTTTACATCAATGTAGATACTCTGGAGTTCGATAACATGCTGATGGAGACTGGCCATACTTTAAAGGCTGGTCAGGGTGGGCAACATATGGAGGCAGGCGGCGAAGAAGAGGCCGCCGAGGAGGCCCTGCAAAGGAGGAGGCGGAGGACGAAGTCTGTCGATCAGTCGGTTTAGTCCTCCGACGTCGGCCAAAGGCAAGGCGAGCCCCGGGCAATGGTGCTAATGGCCTGGTCGGACGAAGAGCTCTTCCAAGCTTTCTGCGCTGATCTGAATGAAGTAATCTCCTAATCTCTCTCATATCTTTTCTAATTTAGTTTTCTAATCAATCAGACCGGTCAGACTGCAAGGTCGACCAAGTCAAAGGGCGTTGGATTTGATACCTCCCAGTCGGTACGAACCTACCGGGTAGAATCAATGGGTTATTACCCATCACTTTCATACTCACCATCACATATTTTTCATCATCCTACATCATATATTTTTACAACCCGTCAAGCTCATCATAATACACAACCTAATTTCAACGAAAAATAATCAACATCTCCACCCCATCACTTTTTTGTTACGCCCCTCATTCAAACCTCACATCGCACATGCTTCTATCACTTCACGTCATATATCATTACCTCTATCAAGTCTCGTCAAGTCTCAGTCAACTCACCAATCACCATAAGACATGGTCCAACTTGATCAACTGGACTGGGGAGTACATCTAAAAAGACCAGCATGAAGATCAACTCTTTTTTTAATGAGCAGATCGAAGGAGTTAGGCTCCGTTTGGTACATGGAATTCAAACTATGGAATTGGAATTGAGGACTTCAATTCCAATTTTATTGTTTGGTAGCACAAAAATTATGTAGATTTGGAATTGATAGTGCAAAAAATGAATTGAAATTGACAGAATTCAATTCTATGGAATTGAATCCCATGGAATTACAATTCCAATTCAATTCCAATTCCACCAATTCCATATACCAAACGGACCCTTATTTTTTTTGACCGGGGGCGATGATCGAGGGGAGATTCTGATGTCTGGATTTCAGCCCACCACCTTCTTCCATGACAGATAACCTTCGTCTCCTTTCTCAGCCTTCCGCCTTTCTTTCTTTATCCATTTCTCTGTTTCCCTTCTTTTACTTTTCTTCTCTCTAGTCGTCTTCTTCAACTCTGTCATGCCCAGCAGGCAGGCAACATCACTTTCTTGTCTTTTTGCCACAAACCGCGTTCCCAATGCCTTACATGTGGCCCTCCACAGTCTCCTTCCCTTCCCACCCCCCACGCTCTTTTCTTCCCCCAGATCTCTGATCTGATGATGACCAAGATCTGAAAATCCCCAAACCCCCCACCAATTCTCGAAAAATTTGATTTTTTGGAAGAAAAATCCCTGGCGATGGCGGAAAATGGCGAGGAGAAGCTCATAGCAGTGGCCAGGCACATAGCGAAGACTCTGGGTCACACTGATACTATGACCGATGACATTCTTCAGATTTTCTCCAACTTCGATGGCCGCCTCAGGGAGAAGCTCGCCGACGACGACTCTCGCGGCTGCGCCGCCCTGGATCGGACCCTCAAGTCCCTGGACCGTCAGATCTCCCGGTACGTGTCGGTGGAGCATCCCGTTTGGTCCGATTCTGCTGATTCGATCGCGTTCCTGGAAGCTGTGGATCAATTGATTTCCGCGATTCGCGATTGGACGCCGATGGGGAATGAGAAGGCGGTGGCTGCCTGCTTGGACCGGGCCGAGGATTTGCTTCAGCAGGCCATGTTTCGTCTCGAGGACGAGTTCAAAACCCTAATGGAACGCGGGGCCGAGTCCTTCGATCTGACCCGTTACAAGACCCGCGATTCTGCGACTGCAGATTACTCGTCGGACTCGGAGGATGCTGATGACGACGACGACGACGCGGAGATTCCGGTGGCGCATCCGATCAGTAACTACGACATAATCATCGACGCCTTGCCGGCGGGGACGATCGGCGATCTGCACGAAATCGCGAAGCGGATGGTGGCGGCTGGGTACGGAAAGGAGTGCTCCCACGCGTACAGTACTTGCCGGAGGGATTTCTTAGAGGAGAGCCTCGCGAGGCTCGGTATACAGAAGCTGAGCATCGACGAAGTGCAGAAAATGCAGTGGACGGAGCTAGAAGACGAGATCGAGCGGTGGATGAAAGCCGTCAACGTTTCCGTCCGGATTCTCTTCCCCAGCGAGCGCCGCCTCTCCGATCGAATCTTCTTAGGCTTATCCGCTGCCGCCGACCTCTCCTTCATGGAGGTTTGCAGAGGCTCCACAATTCAACTACTCAACTTTGCAGACGCCATAGCCATCGGCAGCAGAGCTCCGGAGAGACTCTTCAAAGTGCTCGACGTCTACGAAACCCTAAGAGATCTGTTGCCGGAGTTCGAATTGCTATTCTCCGATCAGTACTGTTTGTTCCTGAGAAATGAAGCTGTGACCATATGGAAGAGGCTGGGAGAGTCAATCAAGCGGATCTTCATGGAGTTGGAGAATCTGATCCGCCGTGATCCGGCAAAATCCCCTGTTCCCGGCGGAGGCCTCCATCCAATCACACGATACGTGATGAACTATCTCCGTGCAGCTTGCAGGTCAAGGCTCACTCTTGAGCAAGTCTTCGAAGACACCCTCTCCCCCAGCAATGATCTCGACCTATCATCTTCTTCGTCCTCCCCGTTAGCCATTCAAATGGTGTGGATCATGGAGTTACTCGAGAGCAATCTGGAAGCGAAATCAAAGATTTACAGAGACTCTGCTCTGTCCTCCATCTTCATGATGAACAACAGCAGATACATTGTCCAGAAGGTGAAAGACAGCGAATTGGGGGCGCTGTTGGGGGACGATTGGGTGAGGAAGCACGGGGCCAAAGTCAGACAGTTTCATGTGAACTACAAGAGGAGCTCATGGAACAAGATTCAGGGAGTTTTAAAGATTGATACCTCTCTCCCACCAAACCAAGCAGCAAAGACTTTGAAGGAGAAACTCAAGATGTTCAACACCTACTTTGAGGAGACATGTAGAGCGCAAACGACATGGGTGGTTTTTGATGAGCAATTGAGGGAGGAGTTGAGGATCTCTGTCGCGGGGACACTCTCTCCGGCTTATAGGAACTTCATTGGGAGGTTCTATAATGTTTCGGAGAGTGGGAAGCACGCGGACAAGCACGTGAGGTATACCGCGGAGGAAGTCGAAGCCCGGATTAATGAGTTGTTTCAAGGTAACGGCGGTAGGAAGTGAAGACCAAACCAAGTTATGTGAAACCAAGTTATGTGAATTCTTGTGTTTTAACATGCTGTAGAATGTCTTGTAGAATGTCTTGTAATGTTATGATCATCCAACTATTGATTAAGCCTGCAACTTAGTGATTGGTCTGTGCTGAAGAATATGTATGTTGTTTGGACAAAATTGTGTCTGGCTACATGCCTACATTGTACCATATGATGTTGTACCTTAAACCAAATGAATACTATTTGAAACATTTGTAACACTTTGGCCTCGTTTGGATAAGCACTCAATTCTCAAATTAATACAATTGCAGAGGTTTCTTGGTATTAATACAATTGCAGAGGTTTCTTGATTTCAATACAATTGCAGAGGTTTCTTGGTATTAATACAATTGCATAGGTTTCTTGGTATTGTTACACTTATGTATAAAATCAAACCAAAATAGGAGACTCGGTCAAGTCGATGATTATCTCAGGACAAACAGCAGAAAACCTTCTCTTGTTATTTCCACTCCTAATTGGAGGAGTGCATATGTCTATGATCTCAACCTCGCGAGTACGGTTATCTGTAGCCAAACACGGATGTTGATTGACCGTTACTGTTGTCTCGGGCAACTTATTGGTTTCAACAAGTGTAAGTTCATCTTCTTCACCTTCTGCCACATTATTACATCTGATGAGAAATGGTGAAATGAAATCTGGCTGTAACGGTCCGTTACCATCTTCACTTGTGCTGGAATTCTGGCTGCAAGTCAATTCTTCTGACCCTTCCTCTTCAATCCCATCATCATGAGCATCATCGTCATCATCAACATCATCATCATGTCCAAATGAATCCCAGTCAATCCCAGAATAACAAGGCAGATAGTCCATGGAACAAACTCGGACCTTCATCTGTTCTGGCAGATTTGGACAACCGGCAGCATGCTTCATGTACTTGGTTGAGAAGAAGTTTATAGTAAGGTTCAACCTGATATATGCACATGAAACAATAATCACGATTACATTTCTCCGTCCTGTAATGATCTGTTTGGAACTCGAAAAAACGCCACGGAAAGAAAGAAATTAACTGCATACCCTTGCCAAGCAGGTAAAGTGAGCATTGTGAATGCCAGTTTGATCTTACTCCCAAGCCCTCCTAAACTTTTTAAAGATCCAACTGCCTCTCTCACTGCTAATGACTCTCTTGGATGCTGCCATGCCCACTCAAACTGCACCATGAAATCAAGCAAAAAACTTCTTTAGATTCGTTTTGCTACGAACGTCTCCCTGGAATCGTTCTTGTTCAAATCGACATTTTTCCTACCGATCTCTTTTAACTCACTATTATAACTTCTGTGATTCATAAAAGTTGAATGTATACGAACGTACATCATGTCTACATTCTTAATGTATCGGGAAGGACTTAATGGTGAAATTTGCAGGAAAGAACTGAAAATCCAATAAATTGGAATGAAAACAGAAAATCATAAAGAACAAGATCCAAAATTTAAGCTAATCATACAGAACAAGATCCAAATTTCAAACTGGAATCCCCCAAAAAGCAAAAACCTGCAAAGCTGCAACTTGTGTGGGGAAGCCATAGATGCACAACACCATCTCCCATGGACGCTTCCGCTTTGTCCTTAGAGCGCCGCTCGTGATTTCCCCATTGTGCTGCCTTATTCTCCGCCGGGGATTCACTGTAAATCTGCACAAATCAAGAAACCCATTTCTTCAAATCATCAATGAGGTTGGAAGGATCTTGGATCAATGATTCCAAATAAAGATCTGTTTTTTTCTTATTGAAATAAAATAAAAAGAGAATTAATTGCAGAAAATCTGAGACATACCCGATGTAAGTGAAACCCTTGAATCTGGGCGACAAAGAAGTAAGCAAATAGCAGCCAAAGAAACCGCCAGATCCCCCTTCCTTTTCCCATCTTGGATCTGCCTTTCTTTTCTTCGCCAGAATCATCGGGTTTTCTTGGACATTCTTCCCTGTTTTCCTTTTCCCCATCTCTATTTTCCTCTCTCTCTCTCTCTCTCTCTCTCTCTCTTCGGAATAACCAGCGTCTGTAGCCTTCGGATTCGACCGTTGCGATTGTTTTGAAATGGACTCTTTGGATTTGTTTATTGGAAAAATTCACGTCAATATTTGCATATTTGTGAGTGACTAAATTTTTAGGTTGAAATCTATTTATGTTAGGACTATTCCCTATATAGATTTCTATGTATTCCTCCATATAATTTGAATAATACAACTATTCTATCATAGTTTCGGAACCAGGGTTCAACAGAAAATCTTAGTCATATTCTTCTTCGTCAATCACGACCAGCTTCCCCTTCTCCTTCGTTGATTCTTCACACCCATCTCTCATAAAATATTCATTCCTTATGTGTGCCTTCTTTGTGTGTGCTTTATACTTGTTATGCTTCACTATCGTTATTTTTAGCCGTTTTTTATTATTTTTGTACCTATATATTTTCTCTGCTTAATGTGCATGCGCTGGTGTTATCCGTGTTACAGAGAGAGGGGTCTCTTGGAAATGGTCTCCCAACTTTTGAGTAGAGGTAATGTCTACGTACACATACCCTCCCAGGCCATACTCTACATGGGATCCTACTAGGTTTTATTGTTGTACTATTTTCCCCTAACCAAACAAGCCTTAAGAGTTTTTTTACACTAAATTCTAAGAGTTCTTGAAAGAGCACAAAATACTTTTTACCGGTGTGGCATCGATAAAAAGTATTTGGTACCAAAAATTATCTATGTGACATTTTGGTATAGAGGGTAACATGGCCCTTACTCAGATCATTTGGTACCAAATGAATTCAGTAAGATAATCTATCAGTTTGCCACGCATATTGCACTGCTCTCTCTCTCTCTCTCTCTTAACAATAATATTATTGTTGATACTGAAAAAAATTGTTTTAAATTAATAATTACAACCTATTTATACAAGCTTACTCTGTATAAGGTAAACACACTCCATATTTCTTTCACACCCATTTTTATATCTCACACTCTCAAAGTCTCAAAAATTAAACTTTAATTACTCCCTGGTAACTTATCTTTTTCCAATATTCTTATTTTTAAATTTTTATATTTGTGATTGATATTTCTTTTTATTTAGTGTTGTAGTTTCGTTTAAATTAATGAAACCTTATTATTTTGTTATCATGTACATTAAATATATACACTTTATCTTTTTTAAAAGATAATTATAAAAAAATTAATTATTTAAAACTTTTTTAAAATTAATGTATAAAATTGACGAATTGGTGTATGTGCTCCTATATATCCAACTTTTTGTATCATTATTAATGGGTTCAACCCAACAGCTATGGCGTGCGAAGAACTAAAAAGAGAATAAGTATGAAATGAGTAGAACTCTTGTAGGCTCGTATTAGCTAAATCTTGCTTGAGTTACAATGGAGGGGTCACCATCTATTTATAATCTAATTCTACCACATACAAGGCATGTAATTTTCTACGCTGCATTTTCGGCAATCCATCCATCATGCATCAATCAGGGCAGAAAATCAATCAACAATTCCCCCGCAATCCCACGATTTCAGGAGTCACGTCTTCTTCTCATACCGGGTATAATCCATCGTTGTGGACCGGCCTTTGATCCATTATTTAATCTGATCCTTGGGCTTCAATCTCCCTTCGCTCTTCGAGCTGGACCTGTCTTGGGCTTCAAAATTAGGTCAGTGTTCTAAAATAAAAGAGAAAATAAAATACTCCCTCCGTCCCCAATTTGATTACAAATTGCGGGTTACGGAGTAAACTTTCTTACTTTTTGAAATTATTTTATTTACAAATTGATATATCAATAAGATATAAAAATTACATATTAAACAACTACGTCAAAAGTTATACAAATCAAGAAGTGATAAGAATATTTTATTTTATCAAATACTTAATGAAATCGCGTAAACAAACAAAAGTTATCGAGAGGAGAGAAAAAAATTGTAATCTATTTAGGGACAGAGAAAGTACATCTAAAAATGATAAGTGTTCTAAAATAAATTAGAAAATAATGTGGTTTGGTAAGTAATTAGTACGATTTAAATACGAAAATAAAATATAAAACTGCAAATTAATATTAATACTATACTTTAAAAACATGATTTTCTTTAAAAAGGTAAGTGTTAAAATTAGAAAATTAGAAAATAAATACGGAATGGTATGTCACCACGATAAGCAAATGGTATCATTTAAACACAAAATAAAATAAATGGTAAGTGTTCTAAAATAAATTAGGTAAGTGTTCTAAATAAATTATAAAATAAAATAATTATTAAAACGATAAGTATTCTAAAATATATTAGAAAATAAATACGGTACGGTAAGTAAATGATACCATTTAAATAAAAAAATAAAATAGAAAACTATAAAATAATACTATCAATTAATACTATAATTTACAAGCATGGTAACATGTAAAAATGGTAAGTGTTATAAAATAAATTAAAAAATAAATATGGTACATTATATTAAGCAAATGGAAACATGTAACAATGGTATAAGTATTCTAAAATAAATACTATTAATACTATAATTTACAAGCATGGATACATGTAAAAAAGGTAAGTGATCTAAAATAAAATAGAAATAAATACCATAGGGTAAGTTAATGGTACCACTTAAATACGAAAATAAAATTAAAAAATACAAATTCCAAAATAAATACATTAATATGTTGAATTATTACTTAGATAAGTCAAATTATTGAATTATTATCAAGAACAATATCTGAAACATATTGAATTATTGTTACGGAAACTGGTATTTAGTCATGAGAAAGTGTATGTTGCAGTTTAAAGAGTAATAAATCGCAATGGCTTGAAGATTCTGATATA